ATCCCATGCATCCCATCCCATCCCATCCCATGGATCCCATGGATCCCATCCCATGGATCCCATCCCATGGATCCCATCCCATGGATCCCATCCCATCCCATGGATCCCATCCCATCCCATGGATCCCATCCCATCCCATCCCGTGGATCCCATCCCATCCCATCCCATCCCATCCCATGGATCCCATCCCATCCCACGGATCCCACGGATCCCATCCCACGAATCCCACGGATGACCCCACGGATGCCGTTCTCCCGTTCTCCGTGCGCAGGCGTGTCTCACCGTCACCTGTCGGATCACCTGTCGGAGCTGGTGGAGCAGACCCTCAGTGACCTGGAGCAGTCCAAGTGCATCAGCATCGAGGACGAGATGGACGTGGCCCCGCTCAACCTGGGCATGATCGCCGCCTACTACTACATCAACTACACCACCATAGGTGCTCAGAATCCACGGATTTGGGGGTTTTCCCAAAAAAAAAATCAGTGGTTTGGGGGGTTTCCTGTAAAAAAAATTGCTGGGTTTGGGGATTTCCATAAAAAAATCATTGGTTTTGGGGTTTTCCATAAAAATAATCACTGGGTTTGGGTTTTTTCAAAAATAATCACTGGGTTTGGGTTTTTTCTCCCGAAATTTCTGATTTTCATGTGTTTCCCCCAAAATTCCCAGTTTTTGTGTGTGTTTCCTCCAAAATTCCCGATTTTTGTGTGTGTTTCCCCGAAATTCCCAATTTTTGTGTGTGTTTCCCCCGAAATTCCCTATTTTTGTGTTTCCCCAAAATTCCCGATTTTTGTGTGTGTTTCCCCCGAAATTCCCAATTTTTGTGTTTCCCCAAAATTCCCAATTTTTGTGTGTGTTTCTCCCAAAATTCCTGATTTTGGTGTGTTTCTCCCCCCAAAAATTCCCAATTTTTGTATGTTTCTCTCCCCAAATTCCCAATTTTTGTGTTTCTCCCCCTAAATTCCCAATTTTGGCGTGTTTTCCCCCAGAACTGTTCAGCATGTCCCTCAACGCCAAGACCAAGGTGCGGGGGCTGCTGGAGATCATCTCCAACGCCGCCGAGTACGAGAACATCCCCATCCGGCACCACGAGGACAACCTGCTGCGACAGGTGCGGGATCCAGGGGATCTGTGGGATCCATGGGAATGATGGGATGGGATCAATGTGGTCAATGGGATAGAATCCATGGGATGGGATCCATGGATGGGATCCATGGGATGGATCCATGGGAATGATGGGATGGGATCCATGGATGGGATCCATGGGATCCATGGGATCCATGGGAACGATGGGATGAGATCCATGGATGGGATCCATGGGATCCATGGGATCCATGGGAACGATGGGATGAACACTCAATCCCAGCCCCGTTCATTCCCAACCCCCTTCACGGCTCCGGGCTCTGACCGCGCCCCTCCGTGCGTCCCCAGCTGTCCCAGAAGGTTCCCCACAATGGGATCCATGGGATCCATGGGATGAGATCCATGGGATGGGATCCATGGATGGGATCCATGGGATCCATGGGAACGATGGGATGGACACTCAATCCCAGCCCCGTTCATTCCCAAACCCCTTCACGGCTCCGGGCTCTGACCGCGCCCCTCCGTGCGTCCCCAGCTGTCCCAGAAGGTTCCCCACAAACTGACCAACCCCAAGTTCAACGACCCCCACGTCAAGACCAACCTGCTGCTCCAGGCCCACCTGTCCCGCATGCAGCTGAGCGCGGAGCTCCAGTCGGACACCGAGGAGATCCTCAGCAAGGTGGGAGCAGGAATTCCATCCCAAAACCCTGCCGGGGGCACGGGGAATGCGCCAGGGGTTCCTGGGGTGGGGAATCCAGGGGTTCCTGGGATGGGGAATTCAAAGGTTCCTGGGATGGGAAATCCAAAGGTTCCTGGGGTGGGGAATCCAAAGGTTCCTGGGATGGGGAATCCAGGGGTTCCTGGGATGGGAGATCCAAGGGTTCTTGGGATCCAAGGGTTCCTGGGGTGGGAGATCCAAGGGTTCCTGGGATGGGGAATCCAGGGGTTCCTGGGATCCAAGGGTTCCTGGGATGGGGAATCCAAGGGTTCCTGGGGTGGGGAATCCAAGGGTTCCTGGTCACAGGAAAACGGGATGGAGCTGGGGATGGGGTGGGATTTGTGGCCAAGGAAGTCAGAGTGGGATAATGAGGTTCTCCAGGATTGCTCCATCCCATGGGGTCAGTTCTCCAGGAACTGCTCCAGCCTGGGTCCATCCCATGGGATCCCCATCCCTGTCCATGTCACTGACCACCCCTGTCCATCCTGACCACCCCTGTCCATCCCTGACCACCCCTGACCATCCCTGTCCACCCCTGTCCATCCCTGACCACCCCTGTCCATCCCTGTCCATCCTGTCCACCCCTGTCCATCCCTGACCACCCCTGACCATCCCTGACCACCCCTGACCACCCCTGACCATCCCTGTCCATCCTGACCACCCCTGTCCATCCTGACCATCCCTGTCCATCCCTGTCCATGTCACTGACCATCCCTGACCACCCCTGACCACCCCTGACCATCCTGACCACCCCTGTCCATCCTGTCCATCCTGTCCATCCTGTCCGTGTGTCCAGGCGATCCGGCTGATCCAGGCGTGTGTGGACGTGCTGTCCAGCAATGGCTGGCTGAGCCTGACCACCCCTGACCACCCCTGTCCATCCTGTCCATCCCTGACCACCCCTGACCATCCTGTCAGTGTCATCCTGTCCATCCCTGACCACCCCTGACCATCCTGTCCATCCTGTCCATCCTGTCCGTGTGTCCAGGCGATCCGGCTGATCCAGGCGTGTGTGGACGTGCTGTCCAGCAATGGCTGGCTGAGCCCGGCGCTGGCCGCCATGGAGCTGGCCCAGATGGTCACTCAGGCCATGTGGTCCAAGGACTCGTACCTGAAATAGCTGCCCCACTTCACCTCCGAGCACATCAAACGCTGCACGGACAAGGTACGGCCCTGGGGACACCTGGGGACACCTGGGGACACCTGGGGATACCTGGGGGCACCTGGGGATACCTGCGGACACACCTGGGGATACCTGGGGACACTTGGGGACACACCTGGGGACACCTGGGACACCTGGGGACACCTGGGGACACCTGGGGACAGCTGGGGACACCTGGGGACACACCTGGGGACAGCTGGGGACACCTGGGGACAGCTGGGGATACCTGGGGACAGCTGGGGACACCTGGGGACACCTGGGGACACCTGGG